AAGCCACGAAGTTTTGGAGCAATTTTTTACAGAACAGTAGATAATGAACACATCATCAAAGACTTTTAAAAAATTTTTTAATTCTGCAAGACAAAAACATTAACAGCACAATCAAATGACAAGCTGGGAAAAAATTTGCTATAGTTATAACAGAACAAAAGACTAATGTCTGTAACATATAAAGAGCTCCAACAATTCGATAAGAAAAAGGCCAAGAACCTAATGAAAAAATGTGTAAGATACATGGCTTTACAGAAGAGGAAACACAAATGTCTCCTAAACATATGAAAACATGCTTACCTTCACTCATCATTAGATAAATGTATAATAAAACCACACTGAAATACCCTTTTTTACCTATCAGATTGGCAAATATATACTCTGTTGGTGAGGCTGTAAGGAAACAAGCATTCCCACACAATACAGATAGAAGTAGAAATTAATGGGACTCCCATGGAAGATAATTTGGCAATAGCTATCAACTTAAAAATGCACAGATTCTTTCACTTAGTGATTTAACTTTGGGGACTTTTCATATAGATATACTCATATGTGTTTGAATTTATATAGGTGCAAGTTTGTGGAAATGATGTACACATTTGCATAAATAATTACAAAATTTTTGGACATGGGGAACAACCTACATGTCTAGCATAAGGGACTGGTTAAAAATATTATGGAATATTATATAGCCATTAAAAAGAAAAAAGAGGTACTTCAAGTATAGATATAAAACAATCACCTAGATATATTTTTTAAGTGGAAAAAGAGGCTATTTGGGCTTTTAAAAAGGGGGTAAACGTCTAACAAATAAAAGCATACCCTTAATTGCTTGGATATGTATAACAAGTACCTACAAAGATAAATAAGAATCTGGTAACATGAGTTACCTCTGGGAAAAGGAATCTGCTGGCTAAAGGACACAGGTAGGAGGGAGATTTTTCACTTCTTGAATTTTGAACTGTATGGATAAATATATCCATAATAACCCATATTTCAAATATATATATATAATTTAAAATTTAGAAATCACTTGGCACAATTCATTAATGACTCAATTCTACAAATATTTTTTATGTATGTGCCAGGCAGTGTGCAAGGTGACAAGTATACAGTGGTGAACTAGTCAGCCTTCATTAAACTTACAGTCCAAGGAGGCAGATGTCAAAGAGGTGAACTAGCAGCTATCGTCTGAATGCGTCCCCCAAAATTCATATGTTGAAATCCTAACACGAGGTGATGGCAATAGGAAGTGGAGCCTTTTGGGATGTGATTAGGTCATGAGGGAGGAGCCCTCATGAACGAAATTAGTGCCCTCATAAAAGAGGCCCCAGGGAGCTGTCTTATCTCTTCCACCATTAGAGGACACAGCAAGAAGGTGTCATCTATGAACTAGAACGTGAACCCTCACCAGACACCAAATGTGCAGTTACCTTGATCTTGGACTTCCCAGACTGCACAACTGATTCAGGAGGTCTGGGATGGCCTGAAATTCTGCATTCCTAGCAAGGTCCAGTGCCACCATTTATGCTTTCAGTAGTAAGGGTTTGTTTTTCCTATTTTTGCTTTTTTTCCCCTGTTATTTTATTCATTTAGATTCTTGAGTAGGAGCAAGTATTTAGAAATCATTGTATGTCAGATGTTTTCAGCTGCAAGAAAGAGGTAATGGAATGTAGATACCAAACAACCAGAGGTGAAATGATGTCATCCAGGCTCAGGGTCTTCTTTCTGTCTCCCTGTTCTCATATCCTGTCACCACCTTCACTTACACTAGAGCCCCTCATGGCTGCAGTTCCAGGAATCACTTTCAGACACTACAAGGTTTGGAAGGAGAAAGATACTGTATCTATTATGTGTTTTTCTTAGGAGGGAGGAAGGCTTTTCTGGAGGTCCCCCAGAAGTCTTTCCCTAATGTCTCTGTGGCCAGAAGTGGGTTATTTACCCAACATTAAATCGTTCGTGGGCTAGGGGACTGGGAATTCCATGACTAGCCTAGATTAATGAGGACCCACTGCTAGAACTGTGGAACTGGGGAGAAACCTGGGCAAAGCTGGAGTTCTGTTCAAAAGAAAGTGAAAGTAGGCAACCAGCACTGTCTACTATTATAACATGCAATTTGGTTAGTTACTTGTATAGAGATGTGTGTATATTCTGTGTTTAATAGGGAATTTGGCAATTTTTCTTTTCTTTTTAATAATTTCTTTACTTTTTCTGTCTACTATTATAACATGCAATTTGGTTAGTTACTTGTATAGAGATGTGTGTATTTTCTGTGTTTAATAGGGAATTTGGCAATTTTTCTTTTCTTTTTAATAATTTCTTTACTTTTTTATTAAAACATAATTTATTATACATATTCGTGGGGTACAGAGTTGAATATCAAAACCTGTGTACAATATATGATGATCAAATTCGGATAATTAGTATATTCATCATTGCAAAATGTAATCATTCTTTGTGTCCATTAAGGAATTTCTGGCCAATCCCCCATCCCCTCCCTCTTTCCCACCACTAGTAACCACAGATCTGCTCTCTCTTTCTGTAAATTGGCAATTTTTCCAAGACAAAAATTAAGTACAAATTTAGAAGCATTACCCAATACCCATTAGAAAGTGTATGGAAGCAATCATTTCATAGTTTGAGCTGGTGTGGAAAGCTCTGAGACTCTGGGAAACATAGTACTTGTTCTCCTGAAACCTACAACCCTATTGGGGCAACAAAACAGAAAGAACTAAAGCAATCTGCTACATAAGCAAATGAATTTTTTCACTCCCTTGAGTAATCACTATGGACAAAGAACTGAGTACAGGGCTCCCAAGAATTCTGCATTTTGAGACGCATACACAAATGATGATGGGTGCAGCACATACAGAGATAAAGAGGTGGAACAAAGTGTTATGGAAGCCCAGAGGAGGGAAAAAGTCCTTCTCGCCTGGAGGGTTTGGGGGAGGGTGCGGAGTGGACTTTATCTAGTGCTAGTCTGGAAAGATGAGGAGACATTTAACAGGTGATAATGGTGGGGGGAGGGAGGGATTAGAGAACGGGACTTTGAAAAAAATGAACATGGGATGGGGGAAGACACATACAGCACTATAAATGGTGGTGTGGGAAAGGCAGGTACCGTCATTGGACTCCTTTATAATCTCTTGGCAACACTAAGCCATAAAATAGCATAAGTCATACAGGGAAGGAGGGAGACAAAGACAGCTCCTGGGAAGAGAGAAGCCTGAGCAGTCTGTGTAAGGACAATGTTCACGGAAGAGCAGGACGAGTGGACAGGGCAGGGGGTCAAGGGAGCAGGCCCAGTTTCATGTTTATATCCACCAAATATCAGTATCAAGGGCAGAAACAGTTTCTTCACTGAACAAATTGCAACAACAAAAAGAGATATGGGAGGGGAATCTATTGATTAAAAGAGACCTAAAAGACACATTAATTTATAGCAATGTGTGAATTTTATTTGAATTCCGATTCAAACTGGCAAACTCTAAAAAAACCTTGATCACATCTATGAGCCAATTCGAACACGTTAAGGAATTATTGTAATTTTATTAGGCACTGTGGCTATGTTTTTTTTTAAAAAAAGAGTCCTTATCTTTTGGAGGTACATTCTGGAATATTTACGGAGGAAATGATATATGAGATTTTCTTCAAAATAATACAGGGAGTGGCGGAAAGGTACAGATGAAACGACACTGGCCACGATTTGATCCTTGCTGCAGCTGGGTGTCGAAGGTTCATTATACCATTCTGCCTACCTTTGTGTATGTTTGAAACGTACCAAAACAGAATATGTAAAACAAACTGCAAAAAAGTAGGGCGTCCATGAGTGTCTGTCGGGGGAAGCTCCACCCACTGCGTCGGGGGGCCCCGCCCCTGTCGGGCCTCCGCTCCCGCCATCTGCTCTTGCAGGGTTTAGTTTGTGGTGTCTCCCGACATTCTCATTTCCTCTCAGGCATCCATTAGGCTCCCATATTATAAGTCGCACTCTCTATTCTTCCCCAGGCTCCGTAGACTGCTCCGAGACCCTAAAAGTCATCTACCGTCTGCGGCCCTAGAGCCACGGCCGCCGGGCTCCCCCACATCCGGGGGGAGTTTGGTCGCGTCCGACCGCCCACCCGGGGAGCGCGTCGGCGTCGTCATGGCGACGCTCCGCGCAAGTGCCGGCGCCGGCCGAATCCCGCCCGGGAATCATCTGCAGTGTGAGCAGCCTCGGACCCGCGGCCGGGGGTGACCCGGGGGCGGCCTCGGGACCGCGGCCAAGCTGCTGAGGCGGCCTGAGCCCCGGCCGGGTGTCCAGGCGCAAGTCAGTCTGGGCCGGGGCGGAGGAGAGGTCGGGCCAAAGGGTTAAATGAGGATGGGGTGGCCTGTGGGTCTGGGGTCGACCCGACCTTAGCAAGGAGCGGAGTAAAAGGTCGCTTAGGAGAGGAGGCATTTGGCAGCGGTGAGAAGGCCTCTGCGCCTGGCTGACTGCAGGCTTCGCCACCTCCTCACTGCCCCCGATTAGCAGCGGGGTCCGGAAGGTGACTCATAAATGCCAGTGTCCTGTAAATAGTGTCTCCAAATGCTAGAGGGTTCCATGGTCACATCCCTCTAGGAAACTGGTTTGGAGAAATCTCAGAAAGAAGAGTCCTATTTAACTGTTTACTTGAACATTTTCCAAACTTAGTTGGCCGTGAGAGCCTCTATTTTCCCCCTCATTTGCCCCTACAACCAGCTCAAGAAACATTTCAGGTGTACATTTTGGGAAAAGCTCTTGAGAAGAATTAAGGACCACGGAAGGGTCTGGAGCAATGGCATGATGTTGGGTGGTGATATGTGATGTAAGAAGATTAATGAGACAGCCATGCGTGGGAATGGAGTGGCCAGCGGAGAGGAGCGGCAGGGAGGGGCTGAACCACAGTAAACCACACACTGAGGAGGTACATTTATCAAGGACTGAGAAAAAAAAAGTGCGTGGTTTCTCATGGATGATTATACTCCTACTGTTTTCTCCCCAGGAAGTGACCTTTGGCTCTAAAAAGAAGACGCCATTTTTCGTGATAAAATGGCAATGATGGAAACCCCCAGCAAAGGACTAAAAAATGCTGAAGAACCCTTTAATAACGTGTCCCCTCTCCTTTTGAAAAGCCTAGTCGAGGAGCCCAAGAAACGAAGAGAAGTACCTAATCACCTCCTCGAATCAAGTAAGTGGTTAGAAAACAGGTTCGCGTTACAACTCACGTCTTCCCAGAGGATCCGAAGTCCAGAAAGCATAACGGCATTTTGGTGCTGATTTATTTATATCGTTTTATAGGCTTAGAATAGTTTTTATTGTGAAGAACAATGGTTCTATTTAGATCTATATGTTTAACTGATAGATTTGTGTGGTGTAAATAAGTCACCAAGTTCTGTCGCTTCCACTTCCTCAAATGTCTTTCCTATCTAGTCCCGCTGTTTCTCACCCCCAGCGGGTCACTGGGACTATTACAGTGATCTCCTCCTGGCCACACTCTCCTCCTGTCTGTTTCCTTTCTAGAATCCTAACTGGTTCTTCTCCTTATCCTGCTTAAATGCTCTCAGCACTTACCCTTGCATGCAGAATAATGTCTCAATTCCTTTGCTTGGCATTTGGCCCCTTTTGCTGTCTGATCTGAATCTGCCCACCGAGTGCCATCTCTGTGCTGTGTCCCACTCATCCTCAACTTCAGCCACACCAGGTTACTCTCTGCTCCTTCAGACCACGTGCATTTTACACCTCGCCTTTTCCAGTGAATATCCTGTAGCCTGGAAAGCCCGGAAAATTCTATAGCTATTATGGAAGAGGTGAATTATTTTGCCTACATGATTCTCATTGAATCCACACAGCATCATGAGATACGGTCTATTTCCATTTTACTGTTGGGGAAACAGAGACTCAGAGAGGTCACATGGTTTTCTCGAGGTGGCACACCTAGTGTGTGCAGAGCTGGTGCTCAGCTGGTGGAGCCCATGTGCAGCTCTCAGCCATTATGCCTGGTTGCCCCCCACTACTTCAAGGCCCATCTCAAATGTTAGAAATGTAATATTTTGTTGGGGCTCTTTTATCACTGTAGAACTTTTCAAGTACAAGTTGGTATACTTGACCATTTCTGGGCATTAGCAGAAAAATGCCAGTTTTTCATATACTTTGTGGCCCTAAAAAAAAAAAAAAGTTTCAGCATTAATGAAGTTACTGAATAATGATAATTTTATCCCTTAAAAAATGATCAAGTAATAACACAGAGATTGTCAGTCCCCTGACATGTCATCCTTACCCCATTCCAGCCCTTCATTTTGGCCTAAAGCTGAAATCAGTGACAACTTACCCAGTAAGAAGAAAAAAACCACCAAATGTTTCATACCCACTTCAGATATATCCTAGAATCACGATGTGTGAAGGCATGTCTGTGGCTCCCAGGACTTGGATGTAGCCAAAGTCAAAATGTTATTATCATTTGTAAGCAATTGAACAGTGCATTCATTTTGAGGGAGGCAGGTTAGTGGTTGGAATCAGAAGTCGTGGGCTTGATTTTTGACTACCAGCTGTGGGCAAGTTGCTTCACTTTGTTGAGTCTAAGTTCCCTCATCTGCAAAGTGGAAATGATACCTCAAAAGGTTGGAGCAAGGATTGTAAACAAATGTATCCCTAGCACTGTCTGGCACAAAACACTTAAGGCATAAAAATGGTTATGTAGTGGGTTCTCAGTGCCTTGGCCATACATCTACGCTCCTGCCTAAATAAAGAGCTGGAAAAAGTTTTACAGACCTGGACACTTTTGTGAGCTTGGCCATTTAACCTTGTTCTCAAAATGGAAAAAAAAAAAAAAGACATTTCACGTTACAACAAAAGTAGTTTGAGACTTTACTGTTCAGAGTGATAATTATTCAGAACTTTAAGATTACTCTTTATCATGTTGTAATTCTATTCAGAGCAAGTCAAATAATAAAAGTTAAATACATTAAATACATGGTAATAAAATTAAGCACTTGGTGTTTGGATACTTTGAACTGGATATTCATTACATAATAAGTAATCTCAGTGTTAGAGCAAAGACAGGGCGTGTGCTCTTTATGAGGTGGTGTTTTATTACAAAGACGTGTACAAAATGTGTGAAGAGCAAATTATTTTAATGGGTAATAAACAATATATATGAATTTGTATTGTAATGATATATCTCCCAAGTGATGTTTAAAGATGGAAAGGAAGAAGCAGTACAGTTTATTTGGAACAGATCATTAATCTTGTTGACAGCTGTGTCCAGTGTTTAAAACTTTCACTCAGCTGAACTGCACTACATGAAAGAGAGCCTGTGTTCATAGGATTTTCTTTAATTTAATATTTTCTTTGATGTCTTGTGATATAATTATCTACATTGTTTTTACAGAGGTTTATGCAAAACTTCTGAATAATAAGGTTATACAGGCAAGACCTGGCATAGTACATTTTGGAGGCTATCAAGTAGAAAAACAACATCAACAGATTCTGGTAGGTACTTTTTTTTTTGGTAATGATTTTATTTATTTATATTTATTTATTTTTTGGCAGCTGGCCAACACCAGCATCTGAATCCATCACCTTTGTGTTACAAGGCTGCACTCTAACCAACTGAGCTAACTGGCCTGGATAAGTGGGATAGGTAATGATTTTATTTATTTATATTTATTTATTTTTTGGCAGCTGGCCAACACCAGCATCTGAATCCATGACCTTTGTGTTACAAGGCTGCACTCTAACCAACTGAGCTAACTGGCCTGGATAAGTGGGATAATTTATCATGATAATGAAATGACATTAATATTCTGCATTTATGAGTATATTACTCATTTGTCTAAAGAATAGCATAATCAGCCAAAGTGCAGCGGTAAGTTGGGCCAGAAAAGGTAGCTCTATGATGAGAAATTTTAAAGTTGTTTCAGTGTCCTTGGACAAGTTACTTCTTTCTGCCCTGCCAAGGACTCCCAGCACTCTTTCCAAATAGTTATTGTTGCTGAGCGCCTCTTGGCGCCAGGTACGGTGCTTTGTGTTTTAAATGACTTAATTTAGTCTTTATACTAGCTCAGTAGAGGTTGCATTATTACTATCATTACATAGATGAGGAAACTGAGATTCCAAAAGGGTAAATAGTTTGTTCAAGAGCACAGAGCTGCTAAGTGACGGAGGCAGAATTTGGCTCTCTGGCTACCTTCCTCCAAACCACTCTTGCTCCATGACTGCAACACCAGGGTGTCCCTTTCCTAGGAGGTTCCAGCCAGGGTTCTGTTTAACTTGCTGGGTGCCCATGCCCAGTCAGTCACTTGGCCAGAGAGAATTTGTCTAGGACTGGAGAGGCAGGGGTCAGCTCCTCTGAACAGGCTCCAGAGACACAGATTAAAGGCTGATTTGACAGCAAAGCAGCCAACACTGGTAACAACTGCAGTTACCCGTTGAGCTACACCAAGGCCCAGTCATTCTTGGGTCCCCAACATTAACCTGGATATTGACTTGGGTGGGCTCTGCACATGTACTAAGGCACACTAAAATGGACCTGAACATTTATATCACCTCTCCAACCTCAGTGACTTCACCACGATTCCCTGAAGTCACACCAAGCAGGACCTCTCAGAACCACTCCACACTGGGCCCTAGATCCGAGCCAAACTGGCCTCTAAGTATGTTGGGTGTGGCAGAGGTGGGCTCTCTTCACAAGCTCCCTGAGACCCTTCCTTTGTGTGTGGTGTTCCCCTTCTGTCCATATCCCCAGCCACCATAAGACTCTACTTTAGATGTAGTACATTCTTAGAAGCCATGTCTTAAAGTGGATCATCTTAAGAAAGAGTTCTGATTATCATGTTGGACTGTTCAGAGTGAGGAGAATGACTGGGGTAAACTGACAAATGGTAAAGCTGTCAAGAAGGGAAATAACGTTTCTGCCAAGCAGTCCCCAGCGAACAGAAGAGAAAGCAGTTTCCACGAGTCCTTATGCATTGAAGTAAGTAATTGAGAGAGACTAGATCAGGAGAGGAACCTGTTAGGTGCCAAGTATTTCCTCTTAGGAAAAGGGGGAGGACTTAAAACTGTGATTAGGAACTTCCCCCTTCAACCTCCAAGGACATATTTCTTGGAACACAGCATCAAAGACCAAAGTTAATGATTGATTTTGGAGGCTATTTTTCCTGGTTATGAAGTTTGCTGTCTACATTATGGTAGGATAGATCTAAAATTATCATTCACAAATACTCATTGTTTATAAAACTAAATATATACCAAAAGCTAAAATAGAATTTTATTACTTGCTCCTTATGATTCTTTTTACAGCTTTAATGAGATATAATTCACATACCATAAATTCACTCATTTATAGTGTACATAAAATTCAGTGGTTTTTAGTATATTCACAGAGTTGTGTGACCATTACTACAATATAAGTTTAGAACATTTTTATCACTAAAAAGAAGCCCCACACCCATTATGGTTCCCCCCATACTCCCACCACCCTCCTAGGTGACCACTCATCTGTTTTCAGTCACTACAGATTTGCCTATTCTGGATATTTCATATAAATGAAATCATACAGCATGTGCTCTTTTGTCACTGGCTTTGTTTATGAAGCATAATGTGTTCCATGCTCAACTTGGAGCATGTATCAGTACTTCATCCCTTTTTATGGCTGATTAATAAATAGTCCATTGTATGAGTAGATCACATTTTGTTTATTCACTCATCAGTTGATGGACATTGGGTTGTTCCACTTTGGAGCTGTTATGCATAATGCTGCTACGAACATTCATGCACATGTTTTTTATGGACATATTTTCAATTCTCTTGGATATATACCTAGGAGTGGAATTGTTGGGTTGTATGGTATATTAGTTTTCTGTGGCTGCTGTAACAAAGTACCAAAAGTTTGGGGTATTAAAAAAACGGAAATTTATTCTCTCACAGTTCTGGAGGCCACAGTCCCAAATCAAGGTGTTAGCAGGGCTGTGGTCCCTCCAAAGGCTCTTGGGAAGAATCTTCCAGTTGCTGGTGTCTCCAGGTGTTCCTCGGCTTGTGGCTGCATAAGTCCAGGCTCTGCCTCCATCTTTAATGGCCTTCTCCTGTGTCTCCCTGTGTCTTCTCCTTTTCTACTCTTAAAAGGACACTTGTCATTGGATTCAGGGCCCACCCAAGGTAATGCAGGATGATCTCAAGACCCTTAACTTAACATCTGCAAAGACTTTTTTTCCAGTAAGGTCACATTCACAGGTTCCAGGGAATGCAGACATATCTTTTCAACTGTTCAACTCACTACAGTTGTATTTGCATCCCCTAATAACTGATAATGTTGAGCATCTTTTATGAGCTTTCTGCCATTTTTACACCTTCTTTAGAGAAATGTCTGTTCAAATCCATCTTATAATTAAGTGATTTGTCTTTTTATTGTTGAGTTTTAAGAGTTCTTTATATATTCTGGATACGAGTCCCTTATCAGATATATGATTTGCAAGTATTTTTCCCATTCTGTGGTTTGTCTTTTTTTTTTGTCTTTTTCCGTGTCCAGCAACGGATCGCAACCCTCAGTGTTGCGCCCGTACCGGACCGGGACCGGCAACAGGATCGCAACCCTCGGTGTTGCATCTGCATCTCACTCAGCCAGTGAGCGGGAACCAGTCTATATGTGGGATCCGAACCCTCGGTGGGAGCGCCGCCGCGCTTCCCAAGCGGCGCACTACAGCAGTGCGCCACCGGGCCGGCCCTGTGGTTTGTCTTTTAACTCTTTTTATACTGTCCTTTGTAGTACAAACATTTTTAATTTTGATGAAGTACAGTTTATCTATTTTTTCTCTTATTACTTGTACTTTGGGTGACATATCTAAGAAACCCAAATTAACAGACCTAAGGTCATAAAGATTTACTCCTATGTTTTCTTCTAAGAGTTTTATAGTTTTAGTTCTTACATTTGGGTCTATAGTTTATTTTGAGTTAATTTTTGGGTGTTTTGTGAGGTAGGTATTGTTCAATTTCAATCTTTTGCATGTTCCAGTATTATTTATTGAAAAGACTATTCTTTCCCCATTGAGTGATTTTGGCACTCTTGTTGAAAATCAATTTACTATAAATGTAGGGGGTTATTTCTGGACTCTCAATTCCACTCCATTGATCTATATGTCTATGCTTGTGGCAGTACCACACTTGATTACTGTAGTTTGTGGTAAGTTTTGAAATCAAGAAGTGAGAGTCTTTTTTTTTGAGATCATTTTAGCTATTCTGGGTTCCTTGCAATTTCATATGAATTTTAGGATCATCTTTTTAATTTTGGCAAAAAAACAGCTGGAATTTTGATGGGAATTGCATTGAATATGTAGATCAATTTGGGGAGTATGACAGTCTTAAGAATATTAATTCACAGGTTTTTTTTATGATATATCTTTTATAACTTTTGTCACTAGCTTTAGGGTATTTTCAACCTGTGTGGGTATAGGAGAGGAGGGCTCACCTTTCTTAAAATAGACTTTCCTGAGACTCACATGAGTCATAATTAGCTTGCTAAAATTCCCCTAGTTTCAAGAAATATTGACATTCTTCACAGGATGGCGATTATTAGTATTAATAATTAACTAGTAATTTTAAAAGTTACTATACCAAGAAATTAACAACACATGACTCTTCTGAATCACAACACAGCTATTTTATTTTTTATTTTTTGTTTTTATTTTATTTTATTAATTTTTTTTACATTCTGTGATGTTGTTGCAGAGCAGTTGGGAGGGAGGGGGAGAGGGGAAGGATACATGACTCTTCTGAATCACAACACAGCTATTTTATTTTTTATTTTTTGTTTTTATTTTATTTTATTAATTTTTTTTTACATTCTGTGATGTTGTTGCAGAGCAGTTGGGAGGGAGGGGGAGAGGGGAAGGGGGAAAGAAATGGGATGGAAGAAGGAAGAAGGAGGAGGGGTGGGATTGAGGCCTGTGGCAGCCCCCACATTTCCACAGGGGAGACCGGGGGACTTCCAGCGGTGGTTTGGTCATTGTTGGGCTGGGTGCAGGTGTCAGGGGTGTGTGGCAAAAGCCCTTGCCTCCACTACCCCAGCTCAGGAACCTAGGGCCCTTCTTGCTGTGGCTTGGTGGTCATCGCTGGGCTGGTTGCTCATAACACAGCTTTTTTAAATTGGCATTTTTTGATTTTGCTTAGTATAATGTCATTGATTCCAATAATGTTACTAAATTTAAAATTATATTATTCTCTTCATAATTTTAATCATAACAACTGTACACTTTACTATTTATTTCTCTAATTCTTCTTTTTTTGTGTGTAAACTATTTTTTCTTTTTTACCTCCAATGTAGTTGTACTGTCTGGTGTATGTTATGTTTTTAATAGAGTAAGGATTTTCTCCTGTTAAATTCACACACGGTAAGATCAGCCGTTATGCACCAAAGTATTGAAACATTATGGGAAATGCTAAGGTGAACAAAATCAAGGAGTTTGTTAAGTAGAAGAAGGTATTAGAAAATCACCAAA